TTGAAAAGGGGAGTTTCCCTCAGTGTCCTGGCCAACAACACCCACAAATAAAATTGCTCATTCACTTCATGGTGGAGTCCTTGGTAGCTCAGTGGTTAGAGCACTCGCCTTGCGACCGGCAGGGTGAAATGTTGGGCAAGTTTCTTTACTTCACACGCCTCTGTTTGCCTAGCAGTGAGTAGAAACTTGGTTGTTAGTCGATTGGCGGATCGCTTTTCTGGGGGTAATAATCCCTGAAAAAAAAGTTACTTCAGTCCAGGACTGTTTGTGGGACATTGCTGTATGCAATTGGCTACCGTGTTCCGCCCAAAAAATATACAGTCAAATCACTTTACAGTATATTCTGTGAATCACTTTGAGACGTCTCAAAGACGTGATAAGGCGCTATATCAAATGCAAGGATTATTATTATTATGGTTATTTGTAGGAAATTGTTGTGCACAAATTGGTTGCCATATTCACCTATAAAATATAGTTAATATATGGTACAGGAAATCCCAAAACTTCCTCCTGACTTGAAAGACACTTTTCAAATAAAAGGATTTTTATTTCTCAATAAACAGCGACCTGCTGTTTCCCAGCCTTTCCAGTAGTGATGGCAATACCGCCTGTGGCTGTATCCTCTACAGTTGTCTACCCGAGACATATAGCTGTGGTCCAGCCTGTTTCCTTGGTGGTTTGCCTTTGCATCCTATTGTAAAATAGAGCGCTAGCCTCACAAATTTTTTTAGTGCTTACGACTGAAGTGCGCAGAAATTCAGACATATAATTGCATAGCTTATGCTCTTCAAGGGGCTCCTTCAGTGTGCAGGTTATTATAAGCTTTTCCAGCCACTCTTTTCTAATCGATCTTTTAGTAAGAGCGCAAAATAACTAAACAGATTGTCTGGAGCACAGACCTGTACAAATCGAGAATTGCTGAGCCTTAACCATCCATCTACATATCCTTTTCTTTCCTATCTTTGATTTCAGTTTAACAAGGCCAAATGCAGTGAGTTTTTATGACAAAGTGTTGAAACTAAGAGGATTCCTTTCACAGAGGCAGTCACATTTGAAATCCAATCTATGTTCTTAAATGATACTTTGAGGGGGGAGGGGGCAAGCTAGGCTGGAGAGTCTAAGACTCTTTTTCTGAGAGACTGAGATCCGCTAATTTAGCAACTTTGAGGTTAAATTTGGAACCTTCACAGTATTGTGGTTCAGTTACTTACTGCATAAACTTGCTCAGCCATTGAAGGGGAGTCAATATGATAGCAATGATTGGCCAAAATTAGCTGCTACTCAAAATTGTTCTGAAATGTGCTCACTGTGGTCTGTCAGAGTACATGCAGTACAGTGATCACTCACAACCAGTCTTTAAATGTTGACAGCAGCATAGCGCACCCAGCTCTCATCTAAAAACAAGATGGGATCTTAACATTCCATGTTAGGTGGGAGAATGGTAAATTAAAAGTAACAAACAGAAGCGAGAGAGAGAAAAAGAAAAGCATGGCCAGAAAATAAATGCAAAAAACAGATGTTGGAAATATAAAAGTGATGTGAGTTACAAATCTTAGTTAAAAACACAGAAATGTTTTTACTATTTGCTTAGTCTTTATCTGTTAGAACACAATAAGATTGAAATGGAAAACAGAGAGTAAAAGGTCAGCGCCATGTTAGGATTTTTAAAAAAAAATTATTGAGAATGTTTGTGAAGGGCATGGGATAAAAGGAGTAGAAGAATGATAAATGATGAGTTAGTTAGGTGATGCCAAACATGTATTTAATACTTGGTAGAAGCTGGTAGAAAGCTGAGGGAAAGGAGGAGTCTCACGGTTTTGAAGCCCTGGGAAAAAATGATAATAGCAGACCCTGTGATGAGTTTCATTTCAACACCGGGAGGATGAAGGGAAGAGGAAGCCCATGTAGGACATTGTGTTTGGAGTTTGGGAAGTGAGAATAGAGAGTAACAATGGCAACTTTAGTAACGATAGACATTTCTACATTGTATATAGTGCTTCATTGACATATCTAGTCTTCAGACTACAAACCAAATTCAAAAATAGTTATGCAAAGCAAAAATAAGTTTGGAAACCCATTATTTAAGTTGTATCTAATACATCGGAGATGATTCCAAGCATCTGTAAAGGTTCCCAAATGGAAAATATTGACTTAAGCCACGATACTCACAGGATGGAGATGATCTTAACAGCTATTCTCAAACTCCAGCCAATCATTTTTATGGAGGAAACTATGATACAGCACTGTGCGATTACATCACAGCGGTCTGAGATCCCAAAATATTATTGCTCGGATTGGTGGTGGTAGGGGTAGGGGGGGAGGGGTAGAAGATAAAGTGGATGTTTTCAATTTGCTTTACACTGAAGGTGTCCAGTCAGAAATTGGTTGCACTCCCTTTACATGACTAGAGAAGGCATACTTTTTTCTTAAGTGTTATGCCTCGATTTGACTAAATGTGACAATATTTTCACATCAGAAAATCAGTAGTTTTAATACTGAAAATGACTAAGCTAACCTTTTTCTCCAGCTTCACATTGGGGACAATGTAATAAGGCAGGTCCCTGGACTGGAAAAGTACTTAAGCAGCTAATGGGTGCACAATATGATGTACCCCTTACCTCAAATTACCAGGCAGACAGACATGACCAATGTCACAAAGTAGCTAATCCTCTGGAATCAGACAACATAATACTCATGTCCTGGTCAATCACGAAAAGCAGGAAAAAAAAGCACAATGGGAGGATCATCATAGTTTCATTGTTTCAAAACAGCTTCAAAGCCTTTCCTTGATACTGAACCAGACTACTAGCTGGGGGACCTTATGTGAGGGTAGGTAAAACAGTTATTTTTATCTTTGTTTATCGAGTCTCAACCACTTTGATCCGACAATGTGATCACATTTGGACTCTGAGAGGGAAAGCTTAGTCAGATGGTTTGAATCGGAGGACATATCCTTTTGAAGCCTCTTGGCCCATTTCCCACCAACAAACCTTGGAGATGAAAACTCCTGGAAATAGGTAGTCTTTGAAAGACTTTGCGTTGGCAATTTTAGAAGTAATAATCTGGAGGTGCAATCACTTTCCTCTCAATATTGCTGACAAAATTCACACAAAGTGAAGTCATTGTCCATTGCAAGATATTTAGTTAGTTTTAAGAAAGGCTGTACTCAGCACAAAAATATTTTTTGAGGAAAGAGAATATCAAATCCCTGATTTGGATTTGGACTTATGCCAAACTGTTCTCATACACCTTTGAAATGATTTCTGTGTACTATCAAGTCTCAAAACACACCTAAAATAAATATGAAACAGTGCAATTTTCCCCTGACCCTGCTTGATCTCTTTCCTTCCCCGCTGTGAGTCCCAGTTAATTTAGTAGGCAGACTGCCAGCAATCTGCATGCCAGAGGGTAAAGCAGAGTAGGTGTAAGGTTTGTGTGTGGGTCATGCACACCAAATGTAGTGGTCAACAGGGCAAGCATTCAGACTTGACATGTTCCTACCTTTCAGGCAAAATGCACCTCAGCAAAGCTAGATATTCTGTCTCCCCCACTCCTCCCCCAACTTTGTTTCAATGCAATTATCATACATGCAAAAATAAATGAGATTTATAGCACAGTTCTTAGAAGACTGGTATTTGTATTGGTGGTTTCCAACTTCACTAGCAGAGTGAAGTACTGATCCAAGGAGCAGAAAAGGTGCTCATCAGAGGTGATGGTTGCGAGACAATTGCCCAAAACATTGAAAATTAGAAATTTATCAAGTACATTCTAATAATAATAATAATCCTTGCATTTGATATAGCGCTTTTCACGTCGGGAGGGCGTCCCAAAGTGCTTCACAGAACACACTGTAAAGTGAATTGACTGTATATTTGTGGGTGAACGCGGCAGCCAATTGCGCACAACAATGTCCCACAAACAGTCGTAGATTGAAAATGATCAATTTATTATTGTTTTTGGTTTTTGGAGGGATTATTATTAGGCTCTGTGTGGAGTAAGGAAACTTGTCCAAGGTTTCGCCCTCTGCCTGGAATTGAACTCAGATCTCTCGCTTGCAAAGCGAGTGCTCTAACCACTGAGCTACAGGACTCCACAAATTCTCAATTGTTCCTTTGATTTTTAAATTGCTACAAGGAAAAAAGGACAATGATTTTAATCAAATCACTTTTAACCTCGTCCCTAGGACATACAACCTATGTTTCCCCAGCCTCACCAGCAAATCTAAGACATTTTATAGCATACATTGTTCCAGTGAAGCAATCTTTGCTGGATTTTCACCAAGGCCAATATATAGATTTTAGGGTGAGACTTTCTAAAACTGAACATGAGACTCAAAACTAGGTCTGACTGGAGTCCAGTATCCCATTAGCCTTTTGATTTGTTACACAGAATGCGACAAAAAAGAAAGCCTCTTAAAAGGATAGGTATCCCTTGAACATGGATGCATAGGTTATAATATGAGATTTTCAGGAAAGTGCAGTAAAAATGTACTGTATTTGTAGGTGAACGTAGCAGCCACAGAACAGCAATGTCTCACAAACAGCCAGGAATTGATGACAATTTTGTTATCTTGGAGATTGTTGGTCAGGACATCAGAAGAACTTCCTTCTTTTTTTAAATTATATTATGGGAATTTTAACGTCCAACTGACTAGGTAAACAAGCATTGGTTAACATCTCATCTGAAGCGCGACATCTCTGACAATGCAGAGCTCCCTCATCATTGCATTGGAGTGCCAGCCGAGTATGAACTCAGTCTTGATTTGGGGCTTGAATTCACAAATTTTAGATTCATAGAGGTGAGAGCCTTACCAACTGAGCCAGGCTGACACCCTGATCTAACCTATGTTACATGAATAATTCCATTTGAAAGTTGATTTAACCATCTACTTTTAATTAACTGCGTTTCACCCACTTTGAATCTCCTTTTCATTCGGATGTGTACCAACAAACCAGAGCTGAAAGGAATGGCATGAGAATAAGCAAGGGACGCATTTGATATGATGTTGTAATTAGTTTTATTTACACCACAGGAGTAGCAAGTTGTCAATAATGTGGTACAAAATACTGGACTCCTAATAAAGTCAAAAATGAAGTCTGTACTGTCAAGGAGATACATCATCGGTCAGCCGGAAAGGCTGACCCATTTGAACAGGCAAATGAAGACCATCAAAAGCTAGCACAATAAGGCTATCACCAATAAAGAATGTCCTTACAATAATCAATTGTGGCTAAAATACAGAAAAAAGTTCACTGTTACAGATACCAATTGTGGTGTCATTCTGAGTGTGGATAGGTACAAAGAGGCTAAAATATTGGAACAACGCCCATAACTACATACCTGAAATAAGTTTTTGAGTGAATAAACTTCTAAACCCTTGTCACACTTTAATCGTCCCCTCAAACTGTAAAGAAAACAAAGGCGCCTCCACTATGGAGCACACACGTGATGCACTGTAACTTGATACCTTGTAGTCAATATCAAACAAAGAAAAAGTGAAGCTGACAGCGAGCCATCACTCCGCTTCTCATAAAAGTAACAAGAAATGGTGTAAATATTGATCCACATCCATCACAACACACAACTGTTAAGTGGATTACACAATCTATGGTGCCAGAGATAAACAAACAGCTGCATTGAAAGGTTAACTGTTTACAGTTTTAAATACTTAGTTCTGAAAAAATTGCTACAATCTCAAAAGGGTTGGCCCCAGAAGATGCAGGCAATTAACAGTTTTACAATTTTTTTGCTGTGCAGTCCAAAATTTATATGTAGATTATGCAATATTCTACCGATATGACACAAGTACTAGATCAACCTTGTCAAATTTGTAATCAATTTATAACAGTATTAAAAGAGCAACGTTTAAAGAGATTCAATAAGACAGAAGCGGTTCCTTCTGAGGTTTACGAATGTGTTTGTCACAGAGAGAAAAGAAAACGTCAAACCTCAATCCGCAGATGCCAAGAGGGAAAATAAGCAAAATTCGAGAAAGCTGCCCTGGAAATACCTTTCTGCGGATAGTGTACAGGGTGCATACCTGTACAGAAGAAATGTTTAACAAGTCTGCTGGTGGCACATGCAAGCTCACTATCTTTCATTTCATGAAAAACAATACAATAAAAAAAAGTTTTCAATGCCCCTGTAAAGAAAAACAAAATGGGCCCTCATAACAAGTTTCAAATTCACCTCATCAAAAAAGGAATGAATACATAACTACTTATTCAAAGGAATGTTTAACATCAGGAGTAGATGCAAACAGTTTCTTAAAAGTCACAGAATTGATGTGTTAATTGCTTTGCAATCAAACATACATAATCCTACAGAAAGTGTGGAACACTTGTCTTAAAGATTACAGCTGGTTATACTTATGTTGAGTAAATCTTGTTTTAAAACAAAAAATACAGTAGTGCCCTTTATTCAGTGTTGCCAAACATCTCACACACGCACACATGCTTCACATACTCCTCACAGCGCTAAACTCATTAAGCTTCAAGCATCCATTACAAAAAGAGGAATGAAAACCATTTACTCATAGAGAAAAACGTTACTAGTTAATGACCCCCATGTCAGCTGTCCCATAAATTCCAGAGTGAACGGGTTTGTGTACATTAACAGATGGTACGACGGTGCGTCTTCTACTGGAGTCCAGGGTTAATGCTGTTTTACAGCCAAGCTTCAGTGACCATTAGTCACTCGGGCCAACAAAAGCACCTGCAGAACGGAACCAACATCGAGCTCAGGACTAAGACTCTCCTTCCCCCAACCTCTTCGCCTGCCACTCCTTTCTGCCCTGTCACAAACTGATAAGTACAGCTCCCAGCCCAAAACCTAAAGAAAATCAGTCTTTGGACAGAAATATCATCACAACCTTCTTAGTTCAGACGGGAGCAATTGAAAATCTTAATGCTAACTCCCCTTTTAGCAAACGGCAGCCTTCTGCAGTGCAACCAGTTACAAATATCAAATATAGTATCACTGTAGCATTACTCATATTTAAATGGGTATGATATCACCTTGCAAAACTATTCTTACAAGACTTCATTCATAAATCTACTTAGAACAGAACATATAGTAATATACACCAATTGGAATCATTATACAAAGTTTGAACAAGATCCCTCACTCAAAGTTCTTCTTCCTAAAAAAAACCCTTCCGTTCACTTTGACAAGCCATCAGAAAGCTACATTCCAGATCGAAAAAAGGTCAGATCAAAGAAAATTAAAATTCAAGACCAAGGACGAATCACGACAAATTCATAGAACAGAAGTCGAATTTCACAAAACTATCAGTGGAGAAAAAAAAAGGATCAACTGGAATTCCCAGCCAAAACAATGTATTAGCTCTTATGAAACATGGTTTAAAAATTTGTAAGGACTTTTGTAATATAAAAGTAGATATTACTTTGTAAAATCGTTTACCAGGAATAAAAATAAACACAAATAATAAAAAAAATGCAATGATTAAGGTAGTTGCCAAGTGACTCAAATGTGTTGCTGTCTACAAATATTCTTCGGAAGGTCCTTCTCCTAATCTCCACAATGCCGATCCCAATCGACCCTCCCCACCTACAGAAGCCATCACTTCCCCATATGTATCCACCCAGTCATATCAAAACTTAACTGCTAAGAAAACATTTGTACACGATTCTCTATTAACAAACCTATTCTCATTGTCAAAATAATTCACGCCACATAATGGATAAGGTTACCGGTCTATGCTTAGTTTCTATTCCAAAGGAGAATTAGAAGTGTTGCGTTTGGAAAAAAAAGTCCTTTATCATGCTTTGATTAACATTCCAATCTTCAAACAGGTTTATCTGCTGTGAGTCAATCCAACGCATGCTTTGTTATTGGTTGATTCCCTACGCTACTCAATGTAAGATAAACCTAGCGAAATAAGTGAAGCAGGTTTCATGATAACCTATCAAGTCCCAACAGTATATGCCACCCTGGACTGGCAACTACCTTAAAATGTTATGTTTTGTTTGGAAAAACAGCAAAAATGGTACTCCAACAAAGTTTGAAAATCCAATCAGTGATCGGATTTGCTTCGGTACGCATGCCAGGAAGTTGAGGTCTTTCCCCACCAGTATTCCACATACCAACAGTGGAGGAATCAATTCTACACTTTTAAGGCATTGTTCCTCAATTCGAAAATCAGCAATCCGTCTGATGATAAAAGGCACAAACACTCATATCTTCACAGGACTTCTTAAGAAATACCCCATCAGTTCTCTTCCATTCTGTGATAGTCTTTCAACACTGTATATGTTCTCTGAACAATTACTGCAATGTCACTTGATTTTGATGAGACTACAATCAACTCATCTAGACTTTGTAGATGGCATGAAATCCTTCACTAAAGGATAAGAACATTAGAAACAGTGGTCAACTCCCGAGACAGGAGGACTAAGATCAACTCAGAGCAGTGGCTTTGAGATTACACCACCAAGGTGACTCTGCCAAAGTTAATGCTGGCTGTCCCCCAAAGCCTGTTTCAGGAATGGACAGAGAGGTTAAAAATTCTCTTTTAAAAACTATTCCCAGCATTTTTGCCCAGTTGTCCTTGGATTCTGGAAGAACACCACAACAGGACACAGGAGATGCAGATTGAAGTCTTGGCAGAGTTAGAGAAACAAAGAGATTGTGTGCAAAAGGGAGAAGTGCAGCTGGCAGCTACATAGGTGGCTCTTCCTCCATGGGCTCATCATCTGGCCTGCAGGATAGTGAAAGAAAACAGATGCAATTAACACACAAACAGTATAGACAATGCTTCCTTAGTCATGTTGCTGAACAACTCCACACACCAGCCAGTTTGTCATAACAAGTCCTGTTTTCGCAAGAAGTTAACGTTCCCTCCCAGCTTTCACTACACAAGCAAGCCTTGTTTATAATGTCAGCGTGAGCTATTCCTTCCTGTCTCACCTCTTCACAGCACCAGCTCCTTGTTTGACTTCCATCGACAGTGAAGCCATAGCTGTCACAGTCTCAGCTTCCTCATTATCACATTTCTGGGCCTCTATCAGCGAGTAGCCCACTGTGGAAGAGAAGCGTTCCAGTGACCTCCAGTACTTACCTAAAAAAAAACACAATTTCCCAGATATTTAAAACATCTTCCAATAGGGAAATAATGAAATATTACATTACAGTTATTAGGAATCAACTATATTTCTGTAACAGTGAATCTCTCACCAACAATTTACAAAGTAGAATGTATAACAATTACAACAAGCTGCTGGAAAACAAATCTAGGCTAACAATCTTCTCTGCATTCAAAGGCTAAATATTACTACGCTCATTTAAGTTTACCAGAATAATTCTTTAGTTCCAAACCACTATTTTGTAAAATAACCAGGGTCTCATCAATGATTTGTTATTTGTCCCCATGGATGCTGGACTGTGAATTAAATGCAACAAATTTTAGTTTTTCAATACCACAATTGTGTTTGTCCTCGCAAGGGTATAAAACAGTTTGAATATTTTTTTTTAGACCTGCCCTCTACTGGAAGCTCTGACTAGTTGTCCTTGTGATTTACAAACCTTCCACCTGATTAATGCTGGAAGTCTCCACAAGATCTATTTGCAAGTGGTTTGGTGGGTTTCATTTAATGAATTCCACACTTCCTTCCCATACTGAGAAACATACACATTTTTCAACGCAGAGAAATCAAATCTTAGATGTATTGCCAAGAACTATGTAAGGAAGCAGGTTGCAGTGAAAGTGGTGAGCCTGGGAAGCCAATGGCGTCACAAAGTCACTCTTTGTTACAAACATACGTCAAGGTATTCCATATTGCCATACAGATGATGTTATGTTTTTTGCTGAACTGGTTTTGAATATTACACTGGTAACATTGAACAGTGTAAAAATCCAAAATGCACCTTAGTAAAGTTATTGCCAACAGCCACTAAAATTGAGCATGTACAGAAAAGCAGAAAGTTTTGCCTTCTGCAGGTATGATGTTAACAGTGTGACTGAGTGTTGAACACTGTCCAACATCGAGTCACCACTTCAGTCTTTCACATTTGAAAACTTTTGTATTGAGCAAGTTTTCATTCTTAAAAGGAATTTTAAAAAATTCCCTTTTCCACTTTATTATCTGAAATAATTCCCTTTCTGAGAGGTTGGTCAAGAGCCAGACTTACTGCCAAGGACATTTTGCAGACATTTCAGACTTTCTGTGGGGAATGGAGGAAACTCTGGGTAAAACCTAATCATGGTAGAATGATCAGACATCCCAGCCCTGGACTCAACATGTGCATGTGAGCAAACAGAAGAGTGTAACTTTCACCAACAAGAAGGCAGGTTAGAAATATTAATATTTCTTTTTTGTGAATGTTCATTCTGACATGATAATCCGTATTTGTATTTCAACATCTAACATTCTTTTGAGCTGTAAATCTTCTTGTTTCCTTTGATCTTCAGGGTAAGTTTTTCACTGGTCACACATTAGTGGTTAGTGAAAGATTTGGGGTACTCCAAATCGCGGATGATAATACTAAAATAATTTTTGCTACCTTTAGAAGTTGAAAGAGAACATCCTGTGCAGGGATCTGACAACTCCCGGGTCTATCCACCAGTGCAGAAGTGAAATTTCAATCTCTGCAGGATACCGTAATGATAGGGAGGAACGTCTGGGCCTCATTACATACCCATTCAGTGCTGGGGAGATGGATTCTGGTGCCAGATGTTTGATGTAGATCAATATTCAGCAACATTTTTGTGCGGGCATGACATTATCAAATTAAATCTGATTTTTTTCCCTCCAAAGAGAGCTTTGAAGTTCAAGGAAAGTACATTTGACTCAACACTAAACATCCTTAAATGTTAGGTAATATAGTACCAATTAGTATAACAAACAACGGCAGAAACATGGGAGTACATCTACACACTCACTTTGTATCTCGATTACATTCTCAATGGAGTGGACAGCGTTAGGGTTCGGTCTCTGTTGCAGAACTTCTTGTGTGAAAGGCTCAAGCTGAGGAAAAGGAAATTAAAACCGTTATTTTATTAATGAAAGCAGAGAACAAATCAACGTTGTATTTCTGGTTAGCAGTAGGTTTTCTCTGTTATATAATAATCTTTCCTGCTGCCCCCCCACCCCCACAGAGGATATTTTTCCATTAGATTTGTTTAGCATTTTGATGGATGAAATTACAGATGCACATTAACATCTATGTAGTAAATCTATGCATATGCCAAACTTCATTCTGTAACAATAGGCCCCAGGGCTTCTCAAAGTACTACTGTGGGTGTGTGTATGTGTGTGTATGTGTGTGAGTGTGCGTGTGGTGTGTGTGTCTGTATGTGTGTTAGTAAGTATCTGTGTGTGAGCGAGTCGGTGAGTGCGGGTGAGTGGGTGTCTGTGTGAGTGAATGTGTAGCGTTTGTGTGAGGAATCAAACATAACAGAGCTTGACTGAAAATAGCAAATGCTAAAACTCAACGTATGAAAAGCTTTGGGGTGAGGGGAACTCAATGAGCACGTTTTCAGAGAAACCGAACATGGTCAAAGCTAGATGCAACTCATTTCCTGAAAGCAACCTGTGCAAACAAAGTACTGCTGAGGTAATACAGTGCAGTTTTTGCTGATATCTTCCTATTGCCTTCACATATTTGACTGCATTATAAAATGGGACAAGCTATCAATATTTAGAGAGAGCACAAAGAGCTGAAAAACTGCAGTGTCCCATGTAATTTCCATTATATTTCTGAGAGTTAGTTATGTAATGATCAAGGGTACCACAACGCCTTTTCCTTCCTATAAACTATGTGGTCCCTGCATTCTGCAGAAAGAAAACAAGCAGAGTCTTGAGTCTCTAAGTTACAGTCTCAGTAACATAGAAGGTCCACATTTGTAAAAGTCTGCATGCCAGCATGTATTCCACGGAAGCATATAATAGGAAATTAAATTAGTTAATTGTTCATGTTGCGGCACAATGAACAGAGACTTTACTCAATCCTTTTAATGACTGGAGGGCTTTCAGCATTTCTGTCAATGTTAGAGATAGTCTGCAAAAGCAGTTCATGATAAAAGCAACAAACCAGAAAGCACAACACGTCTGTTCAATTTGACTTCAAAATGTTAAAAATTACAGGATATGCATTTATGGGGAATTATGTGTGTACGTTTGTGAGTAAGTGTGAGTGAAAAGGCATTAATACACATCTTATTTATGAGACGCCAACAGTAAGACTTGCTGTATCCTTGCTGTGCTTTGGGGGTCATTCCACAGAAGGTTAAAAGACAGCTCTGATTAATGGGATTCAAATGAACTTGAATTGAATTTACAGTTTTTTTTTAATGCCGGGTATTTGCTATTCACCAGTAACTTAAATTAATGTGCACAGAAAATGTGGATTGGCAATACCTAAACTTACTGTAGTCAGTTTGCAAATGCAAAATAAGTGGTTCACCATAGGATTGGGGAGGTATTCAGTCTAAACAAAGCATTGTTGTACAATACTCTAACAGACAATTTCATTCAGCACTGAAGCATTTAAAGGACTGGCAAAAAAGATTGATTATAGTTGATGCTGCACAATTGCTTGGGCGGTTTGCAAGTTTCACACAGTAAATGTGGGTTAAACCAGCCTCTGAGTAATATAGGGATCACTGAGAGCTCTGGAGTGGGATATCACACAGGAAATTAAGAACTGAGAAGGCCATTTGGCCCATCAAGCCAGCTGTGCCAAACCTAGATCCCTCCGCACCAAACCTAGAACCTCTCAGCACCAAATCCCTTTACACGTTTATTCCGAGTACCTGTTTTACTCTCTTGAATCCCTCAACAGATCATCATGCACCTTTAATGTCTTTAAACAGCTGACAACCAAACCAGATATTAAGCAACATTTAAAATCAATGCCCAAATCTGCACAAAACCGAAACAGTGTAGTTAGGTTCTTACAGTCTAATTGCTTTGGAGAAGGATAGGCTAGGTTTCTTCACCCCCTCCACTGCATGCTCTCACATCACCAGTTCATTATTATTTGCAGCAGTATCATATACAAAAACAGGTATTACACTTTACAGTATAACAGGTGAAGCGCTTTGAGGTGTCCTGATGTGAAAGAAACTGTGAAATGCAAGGATTATTATAGTATATCAGAACAAGCAAGATGATTCAGGCATGGATAAATTATATCAGAATCACACAAATCTTGATTCCACAAACTGCTACTAATATAAAACATTCTCACCAAACAACATGCATTTCACCTCTGTATGAACATCTACACTACTTGTAGCAACCGAGCACAGTGCTTGGCTCATTGCTGCTTCTCAGGTGTTTGCCACTCATCTGCACTAACCTGTCAGTTTTCACATCCAGTGCCACACAAAGGCCAACTCACAAGCACCTTCCTGCACATGGAGGAAGCATTCTCCACCCGCACCAGGGCTTGCACCTTATCGCTACATTTTCCAAGGCATTGCCAGGCCAGGCTTTTGAAAACTATGATGAACAGAGTTTCCAGGCACTTTCCCTCACCCCAAATATATGGAATAAGTGTGTTTATCTTGCTTTGCATTTTATGAATTACACATATCCATCCAACTGCACAGAAAGACCATTTTCCCTTTACTCCCTGTCGCGTATGAAATTCAGTGCTAGTTTCCTTTAAGTTAATGTAATTACTGTATCTGGGTGAGAATCATTTTGATTCACAGATTATACAATGTCAAGGTGAACTGTTAGAATTATAAATCCTGTTAAGCCACCTCGGGTCCTTATGCCTCACGCAGGCTGGGACACACCAGGTCACATTATGGAGTCCTGCAGCTCAGTGGTGAGAACATTAGCAGCGCAAGCAAGAAGACCTGTGTTTGATTCCCAGGCGGGGCGAAACCTTAGGCAAGTTTCCTTACTCCACATGCTTGTTTACCTAGCAGTAAGTAGGAACCTGATTGTTAGTCGATTGGTGGATTGCTTTTCCGGGGGTAATAATCCCTTCAAGAATAATAAATACAAAATAAATAATAACAATAATATGATCACTCAATCCGCGACTGTTTGTGGGTCACTGCTGTGCACAATTGGCTGCCGTGTTTCCCCACAAAATATTCAGTCAATTCACTTCACAGTGTATTTTGTGAAGCGCTTTGAGAAATCTCGAAGCTGTGATCAGGGGCTACATCAAATGCAAGGATTATTATTATTATTATCACCATCCATTCATATTATAAACCAGACAAGGAAGGAAGTTAAAAACAATCACCTGTTGTATTAAAGTTATAAAGTTATCTGTAAAGCTCATCATAGGGGACCAGGACACATCTTACAAAATATTTTCAATCGTTTAAAAAATAGTACAGTAATTTAGCCACATGCCCATTTATCTGAAAATGTTCTCCTCCTGACGCTGAGGTATCATGGAATTGCCAGGTTGATAATTCTGCCTTCTGCACTGTTAATAAGCACATCACTTGCTAATTAAATAACTTGCATCAAATACTGGTGCTGTTCAGGAACTACAGCAAAATAAACACTTGTATAAAATTCAAATGGATTTACGCAGCTCTTTGAATGATTTGCCATACTTCAGCGCAAAACCTTTCTGGGACCAATTCAAAGTAAATGCTGTTTCTAAATTCTGCCAGTTTCCCCCCGCCCCCAAATAAAAGAACTCAAAATCAGAATTGATATTCAGGATAACCGTATCTCAGAAACTCATCTGTCAGTATTACATTTCTACACATGGGTCTAGATTTGAAAAAGGAACCCCAAAGAGTTAACCATGAAATCTTTCCTGATTAATTCTCCTTCTGTTGCTGGATCGCATTCACTTTCCACATGAAACACAGCGCTTCACTGTAAAGGAATTCAAATTTAAACAAGAAGCTGTATGTTCCAAAACTTTCTTATGTTGGAAACAAGCTAACCTACTTTACTTCCCTGCCAAAAGGAAATAATGTGCGTGAATAACTATGAAAAAGATATGGTGCAGCCCTGAGTCTGCAGCAGGATACTGTAATCTAGCTGTGGCACGATACCTAGCGTGATCAAACACTCGGTTCTCAGCTGTTTTGATCCCTATTTCATAAAAATAGTACATTTAATCCATCAAAGGCCAAGTTCTTTCCCCCCTTTATTTCCTGCATTGTTAGTGGAGGATTTAAGAGACAGGGCTTCCACCATTGCGCTTTCAGCTAGAGAAAGTGAAACTGCTTAGCTCAGATGAGGAACAAATGCTCTCTGAGCTGATGTTTATTTAGTGAGCAAGTCTGAAAAGGAAATGGACAGCACTGCTGTGAACACAAGCCCCGTCTTGTTCAAACACTTCATGCCACTGCCGGTAATACCAAGCAGGATTCGTCGGGTCAGAGTAATAATGTCATCTCTGCAGTTCAGTTTCACTGGAGCTTGCATTCGGGGGGAGGTCAAAGAAACTCCAGTTAACATTTCATCACAGTTTTTTCACATGCCAATTTTAGCAATTCTCCACGCTCACAGCTGCAGCACATAGTTACACACGTGTGCCGACTTCCACTCACATTCTTCCATTTTACAAGCAATTCCAGTGCTCTCACCACTGCGATGTGGCAGCATGACAAGTCTGATTCTTCTCCCCCTCTTCATCCCCATCCTAGTTACCAAATAGCTTTGTGGTTAGAGCGCTCGCCTCGCAAGTGAGAGGACTTGTGCGCAATTGGCTGCTGCGTTTCGCCCACAAAATATACAGTCAATTTACTTTACAGTCAATTTACTGTGAAGCACTTCGAGATGTCTCAACGACATGATAAGGTGCTGTATCAAATGCAAGGATTATTATTTAAGGCAAGTGGGCACCCAGATGGCCCAGAAAGAAACTTCTCCTGCTGAAAAACCCACAAAGAAAGTAGCTGCACGCACACACACACACACAGAGCACAGTTCAAATCATTGACTTTTCCAGATTAATCTGACAATGATCAATGTAATATTTGATATTCTGTTCCCTTCTCCCCCCACCGCCCCCCCACCCCACCTCCAATACAATCAATTAGTAGTTATTCCAGTCTCTAAGGTTTACTAGAATGAATTCCTGGAATTGGCCCTAAACATGGGCCAAAAACCTTATTTTGTGGAAACAGATTGCTAAAATTGATAAAATTAATAGTTACACACATGAACAGACAACAACAACGACAAAATTACATTTATAGAGCGCCTTTCACGTCGGGAGGACGTCCCAAAGCGCTGAACAGTCAGATGTCGGAGCCCGAGCATGGGGGAGGGGTGGTGTAGGAATGAGGCAAGGCAGAGAGGTGGGAGGGAAACCAAAGGCACAGTCAAAGAAGAGTCTTGAGACCAGCCTTGAAGGATGCAAGGGAAGAAGTGAGTTGGAGTTCCAGAGTGTGGGGGCAGAGAGGCTGGAAGTCCAGCCACCAATGGTAGGGCAGGTCGGCAGGAGACATGGAGCAGGCCGGAGCCTGATGAGCGGAGGGATCGGGCAGGTTGGTAGGGAGTCAGCCTGGCCTTAAAGGTGAGGACAAGGATCTTGAACTCGATCCTCTGGGGGATGGGGAGCCAGTGGAGTCGGGCGAGGGTGGGAGTGATGGGGTCACGGAGCCTGGTGTGTGAGAGTGCACGTGCTGCAGAGTTTTGGATGATCTGCAGCTTGTGAAGGGAACGGTTGGGAAGGCCGATGAGGACGGAGTTCCCGTAATCGAGCCTTGAGGTGACAAATGCATGAGTGAGGGTTTCGGCAGCCTGAGGGGTGAGGCAGTGGCAAAGTCTGGCAATGTTGCGGAGGTGGTGGTAGGCAGTGCCGGTCATGGTGCGGATGTGGGGGAAGAAAGGACAGTTCAGGGTCAAACAAGACACCCAGGTTCCTGACTGGCTTAGTGAAGTAGAGTGTTCAGCCATGGAGGCTGATGCTGCCAGCGCCTGAGGTGTGGAGGCGCTGGCACGAGCCAATCAGGAGGGCCTCGGTCGGTTTTGCTGACATTGAGTTGAAGAAAGTTGGCCCTCGTCCAGGACTTGATGTCGGACAGGCAGTCGGTCAGGACGCCAGTAGTCCTGGAGTTCAGGGTGGAGGCAGAGAGGTAGAGTTGGGTGTCATCCGCATACATGTGGAAATTTACCCCATGTCTGCGGATGATGTCACCAAGGGGGAGCATGTAGAGGGTGAAGAGGAGGGGACCGAGGACAGAGCCCAAGGAACACCGCACAAGACAGTGTGGGGGCTGGAGAAGAAACTGTTTGCCGGGACGAAGTGGAAGATACATGGCTAGCCTGATGACAATGCACAGGATCGTCCTCTCTCTTTCAGATGCCGACAGATCTGGATTTCCAGCATTTTTCAATTTGTTTTAATAATAATACGTCGGACTGTAGAGTAACACATCAAATAGATTAAAGCTCATTACTTTCATTAGTTGGGGACATGTGAATAACTGTTTCAGGTGCAGAACACCACATAGTGTGTACTACCACAAATGGTTCTACAACAGAAGAAAGGGTTTAGAGTCAAAAGCTCCAGTGAAGAGTCAGCACCTGCACAGCCACAATGGACTAGATTGGGTACTCCAGCGGGGAAGCCAACATTAGTATAGAAATGATAGACTGAAAGGGCTCCTCCTGTGGTGTAAACAATCCATGAGTGCAACAACAGTTTTCCCATGTCAAAATATTTCTTCCAACATTAACTTGATTCACTCTTAATTGGCTTTTCATTCCTTCTTTGAACTTGACCAATCTGTGTTATCTGCAGACAGCTTTCTTCAAATTACAGAACTCCTTTTAAAGCAGCAGTCATTTTGTGAATGACAGCACTTTAAGAGGTGCCTAAAGAAGTAAGCATCACTTCGTAGTGATATTATATCATTTAAATGAATACACACAAAAATGAACACAACCGCATTATAAAAGCAGCTGTAGAAAAATAACTACTAGAGCATTTGTATGCAATACTGCTCAAGCTCATGTAGTCATTATCTAGTTGCACATCTGGACAGATTTACTGTTGAACACTGTGGAGTAGTGTAGTTATGCAGTTTTAAAGAACTTTTTTTTATATGTATATATGTGTGTGTATATATACATATACACTTTAGGGACAGCCTTACACATAAACCAATGCTGCAATATGAACCAGCCTCACTCGTTTGGCAGCACTCTCGCATCAAAGACAGAAGGTTATGGTTTAAGTCTCATGTTGAGACTTTAAGCGAATAGTCTAGGCTATTCCAATGATGAAGGAACCCTACATTGTCATTGTTAGAGATGTGTCCTCTGGATGAGATGTTAAACCGCGGTTCTGTCTGCCTGTTTAGGTAGATATTAAATGTCCCACTATTCAAAAAGGGAAAGGAATTTCTCTGGCTGTCCAGGCCCCAGGTGAAAAAAATGGTCATTCTCTTCATCAGTTTGTGGGACATTGCTTTGTGCAAAAGATGCCTGTAGCATTCACCTATTACACTTATCACAGTCACTGCACTTCACACAAAAAAATTATTTGAGACGTTCAGTCACTACACTTTATCGTGAAATCCTGAAGCTTTTTGAGGTGTCCTTCTGACATGAAAGGTACGATATCAAATTCAAGAGTTATTTATTATAATGAGATTCACAAATGTCTGTGCAGAGTTAGGTATGTTAACATGCAAATAGCCAGCCTACTCAGCAATGTTCAACACGAGGATGCGGCGATCTTCACTGTATTATGTTCTATTTAAATGAAGTGAACCTTTGAACAATTTGACCCTTCAAGTAATGCAAGAATAAACTTTCCCAGCTGTGAAAGGATACTTTTAAGCTTTCCCGATGGCTCAGTGGCCAAAAGTACTGCCTAGTGAACACCAGGCCAACATAAACTATTGCAAGTTCAATCCCTCAGTTGGTACAACAACTAGACTCAGTAAACATAGGTTAGGGAAAGGTTTTGATTGTTGACTATTAGCCAGAGGCCCCAGCCCCTTCCTGGAAGTTGTACGAGTGTGTATATGAAAATATAAACTTAAACAAAGTCCCCCCTCCTGTATTTGAAATCCATTGCTGAAGATATAAAACCCCAGCATGCACTGATGTATCTGAATAAAGTATGTGTAAGTATATGAATAAAAAGTGTGCATGTGTGGGACTTCAGGTGGGGACAGGATCGTATCCAGCTGTGTTGTTCCCCACAGTCAAATAGCCTGCTAACACTCACTATCAAGCACAGAGATCAAGAGTAATCACTTGTTTGAGAGTGCTCCAGTGGTTTTAAAAAAAGAGTGAAATCGCTTTAGGAAAGTGGAGTGGAGAAGAAAAATTGGCGAATAAACAAGATAAACTTAAAAAAATCCCCTCCTGGATTTGCAATCAATTCTTGAGAAGTGCAGGCCATCACACACTGATGTAATCATGTATGAGTGAAAGCTGGTCGTTTTCACTCTGAAATGTACACAATAACAAAATGACATTTATATAGCGCCTTTCATGTCGAAAGGACGTCCCAAGGCACTGAGCACACTCACCAAGCTTCCCAACTGATTACAGGAAAAGGACGTGACGGAAAGCAGACGTGCTCCACAGTCCCTCCACAGACAAGGACAGAGGGTGACTGTTGTGCCCTCCTCAAACTGCTTACAGAAGCCTATTTCCCTTGAAGGCAGGGTCGAGCCACAAGAACCAGATTGACCCTGGCTACTCAACTGCGCCTCCTCGTGCAGCAGGTTACCTCCCTCCCTTCTCCCCCTCAATGAGGGATCGCTGCGTGGCACTGGGAAAAAAGTGTGAGTTTTATTCTTTTAACAAAAAAACTCCAAGTATGGAAATATTTAGGTTGAATAAAGGTTCCGGTTAAATGAAGTTAACAGTTCTAGTAGGAGGAAAATATTGACAAGATGTTTAGCTCCCTCATGTTTTATACAACAACCGCTTGTTGCAATTATTTAATCCACAATATGAATAAACTGTTAGAGTGCTTTCCAAAGGCTGCCCTCTTCTCATTTATGATCCGCAGGGAGAGGCGCACCTGCGGGTTCTTGAACCTGTCAGTTTAGAGTCCATTGATGTTTTACCTCATTTCCAAGTAAAGCAGAAACACATGCTTCTGAGGCATCACAAATGGCAGTCAGATCGTGGCCCCCTTCCAGGGCTAGCACGACACGGCCTCCAGCCAGGCCCATCAGCTGTTTGGTGAGATAGCCAAAACCTGTGTCAGGAAAGAGGAAATGCAAGAAAAGTCAGAGGTCGGCAGCCCACTCTGACTTCTGGCAAATGATCAAAGACACCAAGTATTACATCATATCTGAACTGGCCACCAGGGATTACTGAGACTAAATGTATAACATAAACCAGGTTTAATTTCAATAAATACAATTTACTATTTCAGCTCAGGCCCTTTTGATCTTTTCTTTAATATATGCATTTTTCTGTGATAAATGATTTGAATTTTCTAAAGTGGCACGCAATCTAGTTCCTAAGGGCTTCTAATAAAATAAAGTCCCAACTGCTTTTTATTTCTCCTGGACAAAAGCAGCAAACAATGACAGATATAAACAAGTCTTTACATAATTACTGATAGTTTCCATTTGCAGAAAACCAATAATGTACAGTTCTGTGAATGCAACCCTCGAATTCTAAAATATAATAATAATAATCCTTGCATTTGATATCGCTCTTTTCACATATTCTAGAAGTCTCAAAGAGCTTCACAGAATATACTGTAAAGTTAACTGATTGTTTATTTGTGGGCGAAGAATATAGTACCTTAACTGTGCAAACAATGGCTTTTATTTTTAACTTTAAATTTTAGGTTTCTTTGTAGGATTTAAAATTTTGTTTAAAGATTTCTGCTCACATAAAAATCATAGCAATTTCCGCACCACAGAAGCCATTGGTGACTGTTCCCCACTGTAGCTATCTACCATTAATCTCTTGCCCTTTCCCGTACCTTTTACATCTTTATTTCCCAAATGTTTACCTTGTCCCTTTTAAATACAATTTACTTAGTTTGTGCTATTTGTCAGATAACTCATTCACATTAATCACATGATTGTGATAATATAGAGCGAAGAGTTAAACTTCTCATCCTCGGAGATGGAAAATGTGAGTCACTCCCATTGATTTAACTGAAGAAGACAGGCTATTAAAGTAATCTTTGGAAATTAAATTATAAACTTTTTTTGCTTAAACAAACTTACATTTAGCAGAAACTTTATAACCTCCAAGGGGAGCAGGATGTCCTTCCACTGCATCAAATCCAGAGGACACCAATACCATTTCCGGAGCAAATTCATTGGCAATGGGCATCACCACCGTCCTGTACAGAACAAGAAAGATGCTTGCTTCAGACTGAGCCATCAACTTCTCTGCTTTACTTCACCTTAAATCTAATCAGAAACCAACATTGTGGAATTACTAAATTCAGAGAGGTGCTTTTACACATTATATACAACAAATACTAACTATGAAGGAAGTATCCATGGTGATTTCATAGCATTCATATCTACCGAAGCAATTCCTTAAATAGATGTGGTAGAGAATTTAGGGACCAGAAATGTAGGCACCCAAAGAACAATTTTTAACCTTCATGTCCCAAAACTTGAATACACAATACAATGTGAATTTACATTTATATAGATTCTTTCACGTCGGGAGGATGTTCCAAGGCACTGGACAGTCCAGAGATTACACCAAAGCTGTGTGTGTGTCTGTGCTGGGGATGTTGATGGCTGAAAGGTAGTCAAAGAGCAAGGTCTTAATGAGGATCTTGAAGGAGGTAAGGGAAGGGGCGAGTCAAAGGGACTCCAGGGTGGAGTTCTGGACGTGGGGCCAGAAATGCTGAGAGCCTGCGAATGGTGAGGGAATGGTCGGGGGTCATGTATTTATATACAACAAATATAAGATGGTTTGGTAGAGTTTGTGGAGGTTATAAATGGACAAAGAGCATGGAGGAATTTAAAGGTTAGGACGAGGATCTTGAACTCGCTAGGATATAGGGAGCCAGTGGAGTGAGCGAGGATGGGGGCAATAAGCTCACAAAGCCCAGTGTAGGAAAGCCTTAATAGAAAATGCGCCATTACTTGAGACTGGCATGTGGCGGGTCCTGGAACTCTTAGTATTCATATAATCATAGAATCATAGAATCGTACAGCACAAAAAGAGGCCATTCGGCCCATCAAGTAAGTGACGGCTCTTTGAAAAAAGCAATGTAATGTCACTCCCACTCCCCAGCCCTTTCCCCATAACCCTACAAACCCGTCCTCCTCAAATACCCGTCCACTGCGTTTTTAAAAGTTGTTATCGAATCGACCTCCACCACCCTTTCAGGCAATGCGTTCCAGATTCGAACAACTCGCTGCGTGAAAAAAATTTCTTCTCACCTCCCTTCTGCTTCTTTTAGATACTATTTTGAATCTGTGACCTTGAGTCACCGACACACCCACCAGTGGAAACAGTTTTTCCTTTCTAACCTATCAAATCCCCTCATGATTTTGAAGACCTCTGTTAGGTCTCCTCGTAACCTTCTCTGCTCCAATGAGAATAATCCTAACCTCTCTACCCTTTCCTCATAATCAAGGTCCCTCATTCCTGGTACCATTCTTGTAAATCTCCTCTGCACCCTTTCCAATGCCCTAATATCCCTCCTATAGTGTGGTGCCCAGAACTGGGCGCAATATTCTAACTGAGGCCTAACCAGTGTTTTATATAGGTTAATCATAACTTCCTCACTCTTGTACTCTGTGCCCCTATTTATAAAGCCTAGTATCCCATATGCCCCTTTTACAGCTTTATCTACCTGTCCTGACACCTTCAAGGATTCATTTACCGAACCCCCAGGTCTCTCTGTTCTTTTATCTCCCTTAAGATTGTATTACCAGCCTATATTGCCTCCCCTCATTCTTTCTTCCAAAATGCATTACCTCACATTTCTTTACATTGAAATATTAGAGCAGGGTACAGATTTGATTGCCCTATTTTGCCCAGTTCCCATCCTCAATTGCATGAAGCTTGACCAAGGCTCCTAATGACTGTGATACAATATTGAATGTGATTGATGTCTGAGGAACACCTTGTAACTGCCAACAACTTGCATTTATATAGCGCCCTTCACACAAGATTGTGCAGTGTGGAGTGCAGCCAAAAGCTTTTGACAACATCTTGGGAGTGAACTGGCCAGCCACCTAACAGAGCAATTACAATTAAATACGGCGTACAAGTTTCAAAGTTAAATTATTTTAAGTTTCAAAGTTAAATTTTTGCGCAAAATTATCTCTATGGAGGTCAAGCATCAAAGAAAAATGTTACCATTATTTGTACTTAATACCTAAATGAGCATACCTACTGCTGTTTAGGAGGGTTTTTTTTAGTGGGGAGAGAGGCTAAATAGCCCCATAAAATAAATTCAAAGCAGGAAATATTTCCACACTGCAGATAGCAAAACAGCTCTACTTTCAAAGATGTGTCACTACTCAAGACTATTCAAATATTGAGACTGATGAAGTTTTATGTTTTCCTTTGGGTGGAGCAGTTAGCAACCAAACTAATATACTCTGGAAAAGCCATCTGAACACTGCACTGCGTGGCACCTCTGGACTCTGGTGAAAAAATTAAAAACCTATGGTTGCTCATAGCATTCACCAGTCATTTTTTCCAGGCTGGAGTTTGCATTAACTGCAATGAAAATACACAAAACATATGAGGTTTGCTGAATACTGAGTTGACGCCACCTGAATCTTCTCAGTGGTGCAAGGAGCAGGTCTAAACTGATACACAAGCATCGTTCATACAGCTCTCCATTATTGTGGAAGGTACGTGCATGGGGAAAAGTTGGGTTAACATGGACCAATACACATTTGGCTGCCAGTTATCAGCAAGGAACTGAATACAGCAGTTTTCATGAGGTCAGAAAGTATGAGCTGAAAAATCAGCTAGGGTTTCTGATCTTTAATCACCTTTGTGGGAAAGTGCTTGTGCGTATATGTTGGGCAAGGGCAGGATCGGGATCAGCTGCAATGATTGCTATAATTAAATGGCTTGCCAACAATTATGTTTGGGGTCATATATGAATGATGGCTACATGGAAGTAATAGTAAGGACACCTGATCCTGTTGAACCAGCTTAAGTCAATGGCTTTGGGAGGTGAGGAATAAACATTTAAATACTTTATTCTTATCACTTTGTTGTGCATTTGTTCTAAATATAGACCCACAGAGCACAGAAACCAATTGGACACTACTAAACCAATATAAATAGATGTGTTTTTTCTGTACATAGTTGGCTTTCGGCACTCACTGAAGAATTATTACGCTGAAGTGCACTTCAGTGTCCATTCTTTCTAAACTATTTTTCAGCCTTAGAGCCACGTAAATGCAGTGTGTGGTGTTACAGATAACCTCAGTGATGTTCGGTTTACATGTCTAATGTTTTATTCTGTGAATATCAACAGGGGAGCAATAGCGCCACCAAGAGTTTAGCATTGCAGGCATATTTTCATGTAAATGATCAAAATGGTGATTGTTTTTTTTAAAAAAACTGAGAATTGACTGGCTTTCCCATGTCTATGGACCAGTGCAGTACTCCATTAAGTTTTCATTCCACATAGCAGTAAGCCTGCACTGTTTCAGTATCTACAGCTTACAATGCAGAGCGACGACAATATTTCAAGCTTGTTTACACCTCAAAGTGATAGATAATTGTTATTATTACACAAACAATTAAATGTTTGTGATTTTATGTTCTTTTACATAAATTGTCTGTGTAATGTTTCTCCCGATTACTATTTTTCTGACATAAAGAGTACCACAACCAATAGAGGTACCCCTGGCTTGGTCTCGGGATTCCTTACTGTGAAGCGCTCTGAGACGGCATCCGGCGTGGAGGGCGTTATATAAATCCAAGTTGTTGTTGTTGTTGTAGAGTTGCTCACGACATAACATTGCACCAGAAAGAAATTCAATGAATATGTTTCAAGCTTTGAAGCGATATTGGAATATTGCCTCTTCCTACCCACCAGTAAACATACAATGTGATAGTAGAACTTTTTTTAAAAAATGTGTTGGTATAATTTACTGAAATTAAGTTTTACTGATTGCCAGGCTATTGGAAGGCAGCACAAAACCAGCAAGATGTCCAGTTATTCACAAAATTACCATACCAGTCTAACCCTTATTAGTTCAATGAGAAAGAAGATGATGCATACATGTACCACATCCTCGACATGTGCTGTCCTCAAATTTTAGAGAAGAAATGTCTATGTGAAATTGCTTCTTCCACAAAGAAGCATTCCGCAGGGGAATGCTTCTTTGCTGGAAGTGCTAACTTTTGGTAAAACCATTATCTTGCTTGCTCATTCAAGTAGACGTTAAAAATCCCATGATATGAGTTGAAAAGAGAAGCGAGTTTCTCTCAGCATGCTGCCATCAATCCTCTAGATAGATTAATGGTCGTTCACTTCATGATTGTTTGTGAGATTTTGCAGTGTGTAACATGGCTATCGCATTTGCCTAAGAAAACGCTTTGAGACGTTTGGACAGTATATAGGGGCTATAAAAATGTCTTTGTATAATTACATAATACTTAAAACAAAAGGTACATTGGATAAGTTAAATAGCCACAAAAAGGCTATGTTACCCAATAACATATTCACAAGAACATTAAATATAAAGTAGCATAAATAGATTGTTGTCCCTATGGTTGGTGGGCAATGTTTGGTGAAGCAAGCTAGAATGCAGTGGGTGGGTTTCAGATGAGACAGTTTTTTAAGACCATCGGCAGCTAACAGACTCTTCATTTGGAATCTTTTTTATTGTTGAGGACTTTAAAGAAAGCCAGAACGTTTTCAGAAATTCACAAGGTTTTACTCAAACCACCTTGTTGTAAAGTGCTTAAATAAATTTTCAAGCAGCTATTGCTACAAAGTCTGTTCTTCCTGCTTTGAAGTCGAGCAGAGGTTCCAGTGTTAAGCCATAAGTATGAGTGGTCACTCTGCTAAAATCATCAGTTTTTTCCCCCTACTGCTAAGTGGTACAATTGAGGCTTCTAATATTAATGTACCCAAAGAGATGAATCACCTGCAGTCTGCTATTCACTGAGGCCTAGGAAATGAACATGTGCAGAAAAGCTGACATGAGTATTAAGGACTGACTTGTAATTTAGGTCAAAACACATCACCAATCTCTCCCCCTTCCCCAACAGTTTAGGAACATAGGAACAGGAGAAGGCCATTCAGCCCCTCGAGCCTGTTCTGCCATTCTACTAGACCACGGCCGATCTGAACGTCAAACTCCAAATACCTGCCTTTGCTCCATATTCCATTTA